ACGGCGAGGCGTACGGCCTTCAGGAGGAGGGGGAGGAGGAGGAGGAAGAGAAGGAGGAGGAGCTGCTGGCGCTGTCGGAGCAGGAGGAGGAAGAACAGGTGAGGGAGGGGCCTCAGCTCCCTCTGGCTGCGCGGTTAGGCCAGCGCTGGCGTTCTGCTCTCTCCTTCTCTTCCAGGTGCTGTCCCCGTGCCCCCTGACGGAGGAGGTCCTGAAGGAAGGCCTCTCTCTCCTCTGTAAGACCGGCAATGGTCTGGCCCACGCCTATGTGAAATTTGAAGCCAAACACAAGTGAGTGTGCAACACCTGCCCCAGGAGAAGGCAGCCTCCTCCCTGGGCATCTATGTAGCCATTGAGCAGATGTGCCATAAGGCCACTAGTGACCGACTGTGTGGGGCAGAAGCGTTTCCAGGCTATGTTCTATGGCTGGCTGGCTTCCAGTCTGTGTCTCAGCATAACTTGTCCATCCTCAGCCCTGAGCTGGGGACTGCCTCCACTGTGGCCAGATGAGCTGGTGGGAACATTGGTGTCCCCCTAGCTTGAGGGGAGCCTGCTCATCACTCTGAACTGTGGTCTCCTAGGGGGACCTGAATAGGGTGACCTCCCCACAGTCACTTTTGAGAAATATCCATTAAGCATCTCTCCTGTTAACTGCTAACCTTTAACTTGTAAATACAGTGCCACAATGGCCTGGGGACAGTTTGGAGCCTCAGCCCCCTCAGTACACCCACATAACCCTCGATCTACCTGACAGGCCTCAGTAAGACGGTGTCTTTCAGCGGTCTCATAAGTATCTCAACCAGCTTTTTGCGAGTAGCAAAGTCCTTCCACACAGTCCTTGGTGTTGCCACTACCGTCTAACAGACCCACCCCCCCGAACTTACCGTCTTTTGTGCTCTGGTTCTGCCCTCTCCTGACAGGTACAGTTCAATGGGAATAAGCACTCCCTGTGCCAGGAAAGCAGGTCCAATCTTAACATTTGCCCTTGTTTACAAGCTGTTCGGCCTGTCTCTATTGCCTACTTTTTTCCTTTTTTCCTCCTGTTTCCAGCAAGGCTTCCTAGGACAGCAGGGGAGCAGGAGAGGAGGATGCCCTCCCTCCAGCAGTGGTGAGGAGCAAACTGAAAGTTGGTAGCAGGGGGAAATATGAGAGATGTTTTATTCACATCCTTCTTCCCACAGGGACTTGACAGACATCAGCCTCCTTGAATGCTTCATTCATCTGCGGTATGTGGATTTGTCAGAGAACAAGCTGCAAGATTTGTCTCCACTGAGCAGCCTAACCCACCTGCTTTGGCTGAAGGTGGATGGGAATCTGCTTACCAGTGCCTGCATGCAGGAGCTGCCCTACCTACAGATCATCAGCTTTGCTCACAACCGCATCAAGGATATGGAGGGCATTACTCACCCCCGCTTAGCCAACCTCAGCCTGAAAGGTGATACAGACCACCTCTCTTCATTCTTGTGCACATAGGATGCTCTCTTTGGGTTTGGGATTAACCTTCTCATTGTTTCTTCCTCCTCTGGCACTCAGGAAATAAAATCCAGACAGCTCTGGGCCTGAGTCATGGCCAATTGTTCAGCCTGCAAATCCTGGAACTGCGAGGAAACATGCTAGAGAGCACAGCAGGGCTCAATCTTCCCAAGCTCAAGAACCTCTATCTGGTAAGGGATCAGCCAGCTAGGGGAGTGGGACAGAGCTGCTGCAGAGCCTGGCACCTCCAGTCAGTGGGAGAGGGGGAGGAGCCTGTCCCCTTCAAAGCAGCATAATTTCAGAGAGCTAAAGAGACAAAGTCCCTTCTTTGGGGTAGCTCCTTCTACACTGTCTGCCCAGATCGTGCGAAGGGAGTAGCCACTAACCAGTAATTCCTCTGCAGAGAGTGGAGGAGCTGGCAACGTTCAGTGTGTCGGGTTCTTGCCTCCTGGCCTCCTACAGGAGAGTGGTATTCTCTTCTGGCAGTGTTAGGCAAGCCTGTACTCGATGTGTCCTGGGACCTCCAGAGGTCAGTGGGGAAAGCAACAGGTTTGCTCTGGATGACAGGGTGAGGGCATGCCTCTTTCTCCTCTGATGGGCCTAATAAAATACTGGTTTAAAAACAGCAAAATTATATGAATCACACCTTCAGCTGCCAAAAAAGAAACTGATTGAACACTGCAATGAAACTAAGATAGGAGAAGAAATTTTCTAATACCATAAACAATTGCTTCAGGGAACATTTCCTCCTAGAGACGCAAGTGAAGAAACTATGTATGGCTTAGTCCCATGCATCACACAGTGCTACAGCTTGCAAAGACTGGATAGGTGTCCTGAGTCACTACCTCTTAAAAAGCAATTAAAGATGATAAAGGCTTTGAAAAGCTATATAGTTTCTTTTATATCAAGGCTCCCTGGCAGAAAACGCAGAGGAGACTGCTTACTGAGATTGCCTGCAATTTTCTGGTAGAAAACTGAGATTTTAGGACTAGAGGTGCTGGAAAAAAGAATGAAGTGGATAAGTCACTAGATACAATACGGATTTTCGAAGTAAAACCATTCACTTTAGTGAATGATTGGAGGAAAGCAAACACAGCACCCATATTTAAAGAAGGTTCCTGGCATGATTGAGAAATTTCTGAGCTGCATGTATGAAGCAGGCATATTGCAAGACGTGATTATTAAAACTAAAACAACTGACTCATTTCCCAGGAACTTTTGGGGCTTGAATTTGGCTCTCATGTCCAACCTGCTCACTAAATCATTTTGGAGGGAGATCTCTCCCTGCAGTGCTTTGCTTTCTGTATAAAGATTTTGGTATTACTTGAGCCATGGGTAGATGTAGCTGATGCCTGAAGGACAAGGGTTCAAGACAAAGAGTTAAACTTAAGGGAACTGAACCAAACTTGGTTAATGCATGCCATAGTTGCAGATTAAATTTAGCATTAAGAAAGTTATACCTACTAGCAGGAAAACTATGAGAGCTGTCTGCGTACTATGTGGCACTTGTATCAGTTTGAGGATCACTGCTGTCAGTAGGGCTGTGTTAGCTCCTGGTCATTGTGCAGCAGTGGTGACAAAGGCTAGCTAGAGCAAGGCCAGGTATGCAGCAAAGGAAGAGGGAATCAGGGGCAACGTATTATAGTAGCTTTCTGTAGGAAATGATGGCATCACATCTATGTGAAGAACTGGTATCTAAGGTAAAGTGATGATGTGATTTAATTAAAGATGTCATACAGAATTGATTATTTGATTTAGGAAAAAAAAAAAAACCACAACACCGAAAAAAATCCACTCTGCATTGGCCTGTTAGTGCTTCCATGGTCAGAGCAATTAAAACTATTCACACTGAAATAATGAAGAAAGTGAGAGCGATGGGAGGTTACTGTTCATTCTACAGACCAGTGGTCTGTGAGCTCCCCACTCTGTTTCCCACACCAGCTCCTGATTTCCTCCAAGGTACAATGTGCTAAACCTTCCTGACTGTCAAATCTGTTCAGATGACCATTGCTAAATCTCCAACTTTCCTCTTTTTGTTCTTGTGTTACCCTCTTCACTTTGCCCAGCTGGTCCAGACTTTCTTTTGTCCAGTTTCCATTAAAATCCTCCTTTTCTACAAACTGTCCTTTCCATGAGTGACCCAGTCCTAAACTGTTCTCCTATCCCACCAGTTCAGCCCGTGCCCCTTTTACTAATCTCAGTGACGTTGGCCACGTCACTGCCTGGGTACCAATAAGGAAGGGAGAGCACAAAAAATGACCTCTCTCCCCCTTTTCCATTCACATATCTGCATCCTTAGAGACTGCAGCCCTGACCTACAATCGCAAGTGAAGCCCAGCGCAGCTCCAGGCTAGGGAACATGGTAGGGAAGTTGTAATTATCAGGGATGTTCCAAACTCAGCTGCACAGAGCGTGACCAGCCTGACCTAGCATTGGTGCTAGCACTACAGTGAGCATGGCCCTGGGCAGGAGACCTCTAGTGGGCTCTTCCACACGAAATCCTGCTGTGAAACTATTGCTGAAAAGCAGAGCTTCGTATTTCCCCGTCTCACAACTCACAGTGAAGTGAATGAAATTCAGTGATGGGAAATTTTTAACTTCCTGCCATAAGATTGTCAGTTTTGTTGCAAGAAGGTGCACCTATGGATGGACAACAACAATTATACCTGGAAAAGCTTAAAATTAAACCAACCAACAACACCCTGCCCCCTGCAACCTCTCTCAGGAACATGCAGCCTGCTTCTGCTCCTAGAGGAGTAGAAGAGGAGATTTCTTGGTAATATATTTCCCCCACAAGAGAAGCAGCTGGCACTAGAAGATCCCTGGACTACATGGACTATGTGACTGAGAAGCGCTGGTTATTCTTTAAATACACTTGTTTCAGGCTCAGGTCTGTGCTTTCCCCTCCACGCTGTTACTCTCTGAGGCCTTAGGGACTCAGATTTGGCACTGCCATGGGAGGGGGTGCTGTGCTGGCAGTGGAGGGTGGTTTTGTCTCAGTCACCAAGTGATGCTATAGGAAATGCTGTTTCAGCAAACTTTTGGTCCTTGAATCTGAATACTTAGAACCCATTTGGGCAAGTCCCTGAGCAACCTGCTCTAGCTTCAGAGAAGGCTGTGTTATGAGTGGTAGGGTGTCTGAAGGGTATAAAGAGCTTTAAAGGCCAGAAATAACTGCTCCTCCCTCTCCTGTGTGTCCCCTTTTTCCTCCTCTCTTCCTGCCTCCCTGGCGCTCAGGCCCAGAATGCCATTCAAAGCCTTAAAGACCTTGAGGAGCTACGGCAGCTGACAACTCTGCACCTGCGTGACAACCAGCTTGAGACCCTGGATGGATTCTGTAGTAGCATGAAGTACCTGCAGTACCTCAATCTACGGTGGGTTCTCCCTGCTCTGTGTTGGGACCAGAGACCCCTTCATCAGTCTGGGGAGCTGCAGACAGATCTGGATCTTTGAGCACAGGTCTGTGGTCTAAGGTCTATGGTCTGTCATGCTGCTAGGTTTTGCTTTGTCTGTCTTGCCAGCTTACTGCTCTGAAGGGACCTCACTACTTACACGTGTCTCTTTTCCTGCTCTTTGTGCTTCCTCCTCTTCAGAAACAATGGGATCAGTAGCCTTCAGGAGGTGGCAAAACTGCAGGTCCTCCCCATGCTGCAGGCACTGGTGCTGTTGGACAATCCATGCTCTGATGAACCCAATTACCGGCTGGAGGTCCTGGTCCTGCTGCCACACCTGCAACGCCTCGACAAGGAATTATTTGAGCAAGATGAGCAGGCAGAAGCAAACAAAATCCGTCAGAAAAGGCAGGACGAAGAAAAGGTGAGAACGGAATGCTGGGGGGATGAGAAGGAAGTGAAGGGAGAGAGAGAGGATCAAACATGCTGATTAAGCCTCTCCTCCTCTAGATTACATGAGGACAAGGCTGAGGGAGGTCAGTCCCAAGGGCATAGGAGCCTGAAACAGACTGGGCTTTCCAACCTGATTGTGATGGCCAGCATTGCAACCCTATTGCCGTTCCCAGCCCCGCTAGCAGAGCTGGGTGGTGAAAGGGGAAAAGAAGTCAGGCATGGAGTCATTGAACTTCTCCTTCTTTCCTTCTTCAGGAAATGGAGGGATCTCTCCAAGGTGATGTGACTGAGTGATCCCTATTTTTAATGCCCGCGCCCAGAGCCAGCCAAGATTCGAAGATGCCTTCCCCAACGTGTGTGGCTGGGAAAGTGAGAAAGTAGCAGAGCTACCTTCACCTCGTTTTGTCCCTGGAGAAAAGAGGAAGGCTACCTACTCTGGTCCTGGAAGCTGCCCTGAAGGTACTGCAGTGTTTTTGCAGTCACTGCACTCATACACTCTATTCTCAGTAGGCCCGAGAGGAAAAAGGGGAGAGGGGAGAGTCACAGATTCTGTGGTTCGATTTATGGCTCCCCAAAATCCTACAAGGTTATTTGATTTGAATAAAAATAATTAATGAGCCTGGAGTGACTGGAACTGTTTATCCTGCACACCCACTGCTATTCCCTGGCTCTCTCACCCTCGTCTGTCTCTGTCTATCCCCTGTCTGTCTCTCTCTCTTTCTCTCTCCATCCTCTACGTGCTGTTTGCAAAGCTTTGCTAAATCCTGACTCATCGCAGCTCCGGGTCACATGCTGCTGTCCCGGCCCTACCGGGGGCGGCTCCATCCTGCCGCCGCCGCCACCGCCGCCGCCGGCTCAGAGGACACATCATCTCCCCTTGAGGTCCTGCGTCCCTCCTCAGCTTCGTCCTCTCTTCTTTCTACCAGCACTGTCTCAATCTCTCCTTCACCCCTGCCCTAGGAAGGTAAGTGTCTCCTCACGGCCAGCAACCCCCCTCACAGCATGCATGTTTCTGCCCCCCACCCTGTGCCCTCCAAACCCCACAAGCACTTCGGGGTCCCTGCTGAGGAGGACCACGGTGAGCGGCATTAACAACTAAACACCCCTCACTTCTTCCCCTGCTCCTCCCACCTCTTTCTTCTCACCCCCATCCTTCTCACTTTTCTTTCATATTTTAATTTCAGGTGCTCCCTCCTTCCCTACCCCCGGCAAGCACCATTTCAGATGTGAACCTAGGGAACTGCAGGAGCGGGGCAGCCCACCAGGATAGGTGCTGCTCCCGAGGGCATTGCCGGGAGGTGCTGCAGGATGGAGCTTTTCCTGGGGGAGGGGGGTGGTAGTGGGGAGGCGGCAAAGCTCAGTTTGGGCACTGCTGGGGAAAAGACCCAGCCTCAGAGCAGAACAGCTCCCCCAACCTCCTGAGGTGTTGACATAAACACAGGCGCTCAGCCGGGTCCAGGGAGAGGGAGGGAGGAGAGGGGATGTATTCTTATCTGTGCTGCCCCACACTACACACCGGAGGCGTGGGGGCAGCAGGGAGAGGAGGTGACAGTCAAGCAAGCAATAGCTGCATCAGCCACGACACTGCAGCAGTGCGGGCTTCCTGGGAGCAGTGCCCAGCCTGGGGGAATCGCAGCAGCACACAGAACTGGTGGTGGTGCCTTGGGGGAAAGGTCTTTGTGATGCTGGCCTGCCTGGCAGGGAGGGGGGATTGCTGCATACCCCAGTGAGACGGTGCCCTGGTGACAGGCAGTGCCACGAAGCAGTGCCCACAGGAAGGCACTGCAGCAGCACCCGTCTCCCAGGGTGCCCTGCCCAGCCCCGGCCCAAGGGAGGCTGCCCAGCCTCCCACCTGGCTCCTCTCTCTTCCTGACTCTGGTCTACGGGCTGTGGCTCCGTCCCAATCCCTTATCCTGGCTTATCCGCCTCTGACCTCCTTTCAGGACAGTGCAGCTGATGCCAGGGATTTTAGGGCGGTTCTTTTAGGGTGGATCTTTGCGCTGGTCAAAGGAGGGCAAATGCAGGGGGACACAGGGCAGCAACACAAGTGGACACAAGGGTTTAAAGGACTAGAGGGGAAAAGAGATCAAGTGAGTGATGGGGTGGGGCAGGCAAGGCTGGATTTGGGCTTGTCATTTGGCTTCCTCGGAGCTGGCCCCAGCAGGGGTGGGTGGATGTGGGCAGAGGGATGTGACCATGGGCACCATGACCATGGGCAACATGACCACATAAGCAGGGAGGCACTGCATCTGGCACAGGTCTTGCTGTCAAAGATCACTTTAATGGGGTCCTGTTCCTCTCTTCCCCATGGAGGCTGTTGGGGCATGGCCGGGGCACTGCTGCAAAGGAAGCTCGCAGCTGCACAGGCACGGCTCTGGAGGAAGTTCCCGCGGCGCGTGCCAGATGGCGTGAGGAGCACTGCCAAAGCGGCTGATGGGGGATCCCAGCCCAGATGGACATGGTGGAGGGCCCTGCATAGGCTCCAGAGAGCCCTGGTGTCACTGACTGAAACTCCCCAGTACGGGAAGCTCTTCCTGAAACTTCAGAGTGGCATGATTTCCTCACACCCGTGTGATTTCCACCCACTCGAGGCAATGGGGTCGAGAGCCGACTCCAGCTTCCCTCAGCCTGCTTCTTAGCTACCCTCAGTGCTGTGATGTGCTATTTGCAGCAAGCCCCCCACTGCTCACCCCTACCCCGTGCTGCACCCCTGTGCTGGCTGTACCCCTGCCAGATACTCACACGGCGCAATTCTG